TCGTTGGGTGAGGAAGGTGGGGGACAGCAGCAAGGGGGTGATGGGGGCGTTGTCAAGGCGAATAAGGGGATGATTTTGAGGAAGAGTGTTGAGTATATTAGGTGGGTTTCCTTTCTTTCTTTGTGGTCTTTTCCTAACCAAGCAATATTAACACCCCTTTGTACTATCCTAGATACCTCCAACAACTCGTAACAGCACAAGGCGCCCGGAACTGCGAGCTCGAACAAGAGCTCAAAGCCTACCGTCGACGATCGCGCAGCTCCTCCAGCATGGAACCACTGCTTTCGGACTCGGCTCCAGCGGCTGGGGGTGACGGCAGCAATATGATCCTCCACGACGAGCTTCACCACTTCCATCATGGGCATGGACATATGGGGAGACTGCCGAGTATGCCGGAGGAGAGAGGGGACGACGGGGATGATCTTATGATGGGGCTTGAGGATGACATGGGGATGGGGATGAAGGGGAGTTTGAGCCCTGATTTGATGGAGGGTGAACGGGAGGAGCGGGGTGGGGAGGGGTTGGTGGAGGAGAGGGGGAGGACAAGGGGTGTTAGGGGGTTGAAGGCTGAGGTGCAGAGTGATGATTCGTTGTTGGGGATGTGAAGCTCGTTTTCTCTTTTTCTCGCATCCCGGTGGATATGCTTTGCCTTTTTTTCTCCTTCTTATTTCGTTGTGCGGTTCCCTCCTGGCTTTGGTGCTTTGAACCTTCCCCCACTCCCTTGCCTTTGTTTTTCGTGATGGCGATCTCTATTACTTATGCTGCTGCTGCTCTATACCCCGACACCGACTTGACATCTTCGAGGATCAAACCAAACCCATACGATAATCCATGGTCCCCCTTCTCCCCACCACCATCATCTTGGAACTCTCTCCAGCGCAATAATCATTCCTCGGAACGCGTCCAGTCCAATGCTTTCAATCGCAATCGAAGCGACAAACCCTCCAAAAAAACCCAGACAAAGTTGGGAAGCTGTGTATATTAGTTAGTAGTTACTTATGTGCCTGAACTTGAATTTTATATCCCGTTTTTTACGCTTTGCTTTCTTGTCACTGGCAAATTCGAGTTTTGTTTACTTACGCCTCCGTTTGTCCTCCATTGTCTTTGCTTTCTTGTCATTGACGAATTCGGTTCTACTTACTACCCTCACCCCCTAAGATTTCTTTTGGGACTCCAAACAATGGAATTGATCAGGACAGGGATGATGCAGTCCTCGGGGGCCTATGCACGCATACACTTGGTTAGATCCACTTTAC